GGATACCAGCCGGGTTGAAGGTCTGGCCTTCTTCCATCTGCACTGTCCTCATGTCTTGCACCTTGATCCTGGTCCTCTATGGCTCTGTTGTGGCCTGGTGCTACAAATCCAGTCTGAAACCAGGTGGTCCAAGGCCTTTAACACCTGTCCCTCTCACACAGTCATAGTGTGAGTGTCCCTTTTCTATAGCACTGTCAACTAAAGGCTACATGCAGCCTAGGGACGTGACAAGCCAGGGCCAGGGCAAGTTCTTCATCCTCTTGTACTGCCCTGTGACCCCTATTCTGCATCCTTTCATCTACATGCTGAGAAACAGGGGCATGAAGGGTGCCCTGGGGAAGGATCATAGGCAGGAATCCTGTTTCAACTATTTTTCCTTGGGTTCTAGAGACAACATATTCATTTTCTGTTAAGGATTTAGTTGGGTTAACAGATGACCGTTCTTCTTGGATGTTTAAGACAGTGGAGGAAAATTGAGTAGTGTTCATCATTTTCCTCTGTGCTAGGCAGGGGGTGCTGGATGGTAGGGGCAGGGCCCAGTACTGTCATCCTGCTTCTGGGGGGACCTGATTTGTCACCTATCCCTGGACAATCTGATGAGGACCTGCACTCCTGTCCTGATGACACCCGGTCTTGAGATCAAGAGGATGCTGGGTAAAAAAGAGAATGCTCAGTTAAAAAAAAAAGCCAGTTAACTCCATTTCCTACGTTCTGACTTGTTAATGTTGCACTAACATTTCTGACTCCCAGGGTACCCGCCACCTACTTCTTTACTTCCCTTTTCCCCATTTCAATGCCCTCAAAAATTGAGTAATTTTTTGTTTTAGTTTGCTTTTAATGGATGTATAATAAAAACTGCACATGTTTATGGGGTGCAGTATGGTGTTGATATAGGCATACACTGTGTAATAATCAAGTCAGGGCCATATCTACCACCAGCCAGGCTGAAGTTCAGGCCTTCTTCCTGGCCATTTCCACTGTCCTCGTGCCTTGCACCCTGGGGAAGGGTCTTGGTCAGGAAGACTGTCCTCAGTTCAGATGGCTGTCACAAGTCCCAGGTTGTCAACTGTACTTCTGACCAACAAGCTATAAATCAGAACTTCCTGTCAGGTTTGGTAATTTGCTAGACTTTCTCACAGAACTCGGGAAGATGCTTTACTTATGTTTACTGCCTTATTATAAAAAGTTCAAATGAACGGCTGGATGAAGAGTGACAGAGGGCTAAGTTTAAAGGATTCTGAGTGTGGGAGATTTTGTTCTTGTAGAGTTTGTGGTGCACCACTCAAATACTTGTCATTTCTTTGTGGTGAGAGCAGTCAATAACCTCTCTTCACAACGTGACTGAACCCAGAAGATGTTATGGTAAATGAAGCAAGCCAAGCACAAGAGGACAAATATTGCATGATCTCAGTCACATGTAGTGTTTAGACAATTATCAAAAAAGGAGAAAGCATAAGCCAACTTTTAAATAAATCTGTGTTGTGTGCCAGCAACAGAAAGAAGTGAATGTCGTGATATAGCCATTCCCCTTTAGGTGGTACTGAAAGATGGTTATGGAGGGAAACCTTCCCAGCGCACATATTAAAGGCAGATCAACAAGTTGTTAATTTATTATAGAAGGAGATATGCACTGAAGTTGGGATGTCTACTGATTTGGGGGCACTGGCTAACAGGTTTGTATTTTGGTCATGGATTTGAAACGAAAAAGACGGAAAATTAATGGCAGGCAAGTCTGGAGAAGAGGAAGTAGATGAACTTCTCAAAAAGTGCCCAGATCATGAAGATATCTGCATCTAACATAAATGCCCATGAAAGATCACTGCAGATGGGTCTTGATGGTAAGGTAGATAAAATGATTCATCCAGTAGATAATCTCTCTTGCCAGCAGGTATATTAAGATTCAACCTCCTTCAGAAAGAGAACTATTTTTATTCACAACACTTTTTTTCCACGCCAACAACTGGATCTCCAGCTCTTTGGGTACCAACCAGATCTCTTATAATTCAGTTCATTTCTGGAGTTTGTGTCAGACTATACAAGTTTAAGGGCTCAATTCTGCAAGACTGTCCTCAGTTCAGATGGCTGTCACAAGTCCCAGGTTGTCAACTTCTGACCAACAAGCTATAAATCAGGACTTCCTGTCAGAGGACTTAGTTTAAAGGACTCTGAGCATGGGAGATTTTGTTCTTGTAGAGTTTGTGGTGCACCACTCTCTTGGCACATGGATATATCCAACAATGCAGAAACTGAGGCCACATGGCAGAGCTTAGATGCAACCTCCCTGAGCCCCATCATTTAGGGGGTTTTATGAAGTTTCCATTATGTAGGCATGATTGGTTGAATCACTGGCCATTGGTGACTAATCTCAGTCTCCAGCCTCCCTCCTGAAATTCCAACCCTTTATCCATGTTATTGGTTCCTCTGACAATAAGTCCCGCATTCCCAAACTCTCCACGAGGGTCACTGTATTAGCATAAACTCAGGTATGGTTGAAAGGGGCTTGTTATGAGTAACAAAAGTTGTTCGTATTATCTGTATTGCTCAGGAAATTGCAAGGGGTTTCAGAATTCTGTGCTAGAAACCTGGGACAAAGATCAAATACATATTTATTGTTATGCCACAAGGGGTTATAAGTAAATGATAAACACCTTTATGGACAGATAGATCTAGATTTAAACTTCAGCTTAAACTCTTAACTGCTCTGTAATTACCTGACTTTTATGAGGTCAGTAGTATCTACCTCACTGAGTCATTACAAATATTGAAAACATGTAAAGGACTTCACACAGATTAGGCACTCTCAACAGCAGATATTATGATAAGCAATTAACAAAGGAATATGACAATTAACATATTTGTGTAACAAATAAGTGCATAGTCGTTCCTCTGAATCAGAGAGGTCTGCATCCATAGATTCAACTAGCTATGGATTGAGAATGTTAGAGAAAATTAAAAAAAAAAACAGAATGAAAAATAACACAAATAAAAATATAGCATAATAAGTATTTACATAGCATTTTCATTGTATGCAGTATTATAAGTAATCTAGAGATAATTTAAAGCAGCAGTCCTCAACCTTTTTGACATCAAGGACCAGTTTCGTAGAAGACAATTTTTCCACAGACTGTGGTAGAGGGAGATGTGCAGTCAAACCTCACTGCTAATGTTAAATCTGTTTTTGCTGCTGCTTCCTAGTGCTAGTATCATTGCCTCAGTTTGACTTCAGGTCATCAGACATTAGATTCTTATAAGGAGTATGAAACCTAGATCCCTCATATGTACAGTTTACAATAGTGTTTGTGCTCCTATGAGAATCTAATACTGCTGCTGATCTTACAGAAGGCAGAACTCAGACGGTAATGTGAGTGATGGGCAATGGTTGTAAATACACATGACGCTTTGCTCGCTCACAGCTTACTTCCTGCTGTATGGCCAGGTTCCTAACAGGCGGTGGACCAGTACTGGTCCACGGCCTGGGGTTGGGGATCCCTGATTTAAAGTACATGGGAGGATGTGCACAGGTTATATGCAAATATTGCACCATTTTCTATAAGGAACTTCAGCATCACCCAATTTTAGTATCCACAAGGGGTCTTGGAATCAATCCTCTTCAAATTCTACAATATAAACAATAAAACAAGATGACAACACACACACACACACACACACACACACACGAATGAAGGGGATGCAAAAAACACCAGAATTATCTTTTGGAGGGTGGACCCTTTGTAGTAAACTTGGGAATTTGTTCCTCTGGATCAAATGGTCAACCAAAATTTTGCTTTGAGAAAGTTGCATCATGATTTGCAAAAGAAAAGGCAAGCAAGTGTCTGGTTCTTCCACCATGATAACCCACCTCCCCATACTGCATTAAATGTTCAGTAGTTTTTGACCAAAACCAGCATGACTCCTATGCCCCACCCTCCTTATTTACCTGATCTCTCCCTGAGCAACTTATTTTTTGTTTCTTCAGATGAAAAAAGCACTTAAAGGGAAGCATTTTGCCAATATAGTATAGTGGCCAAAAGTTCAATCCGAGAGACCACCAAGAGCCAATTCCGATGAAAGTTCAAGAGGGTCTTTATTTGCAAGCTCGAACCTGGACCTCTGTCGACAACTGATGCAGTGGAGTACACCCAGAGGCCCTGACTTCCTTAAGCAGATGGCTTTTATGCTTTTATACAAAGGGAGGAGGAGTTTGGGGGGACTTTCCAGTCTTGTTATCATTTAATTGGGTAGTAACCTCTGGTTGTCAGCTTAATTGTGGAGGATTGGCTAGCTTGACTCGGGCTGACCTTGGCCCACTAGCTGGTAAAGTTGCAGAGACATTTAGAAACTTTAGGTGATTTCCCCCTGGCACCTGATTGGTTGTTGCTAAGCGGAAAGTGGGTCAAGGGAAGGGGTTGAAGCTTGAACTGGAGCTTTGCAGTTTTTCCCATAACTGAAACTTTAAACAGCTACAGGTTATGTTTTAAAGCAGAAAACTAAAATGGCTGTGCTATTGTTCACAAGCCGATTACATATTTATTGGGTTATAGCATACTCAACCTAAGTTTATGGTATACTCTATTACGGTTCTCTCAGTCGAAGAGGTAAAACAAAAATGGTGGAAGCACTAAAAAGCATCAAAATTGATGAATTCAAAAACTGTTTTGGTAGTGGAAAAAGCATCTTGATAGGTGCATTGTATTAAACAGAGTACTTTGAGGGTGACTAAAGTTTCAGCATGTAAGAATAAATACACAATTTTTAATAAATGTTTTTTGAGTATTTCATATAGGTACACATATATAAAACACATATAACAAACAACAAAAGCATTGTTTAATTACCATACATAGAAAAATAAAAGCAGAACATATTTTCTCCTCATCTTGGTCTGAAAATAGTGTAACAGCGTGCTCACTTCAGCTATCAACCTACCTTGAGCTCAAATGATATTAGAACAAAAATGATGTTCTGAATATCCTGCTCTTCAAAATCACATGCTCTGCTCCTTAACAACTGGAGCTTTTAGGTATGTTCCCATTCACCTGCAGAGCCCAGCAGCCCCTGAGCACAATGTGCCTGAGGGCATCCTTCATGTCCTGGTTCCTCAGTGTGTAGATGAGCGGGTTGAGCATCGGAGTGACCACAGTGTAGAAGAGAGCCACGACCTTGCCCTGCTCATGTGAGCTGCTCTTGGCTGGCTGGAGATACATGAAAATGATGCTCCCATAGAATAGGACACAACAGCCATGTGGGAGGAGCACATGCTGAACGCCTTTTTCCGCCCTTCTGACGACCTGATCTTCAGCACTGCCCGGGCAATGTGGCCATATGAGGCCAGGATGAGCCCCAGGGGCAGGACAACAAAGACAAAGCTGGCCAGGTACATCTCTACCTCATTGAGGGTGTATCCACACAAGCCAGCTGCATGATGAGGGGCATCTCACAAAAGAAGTGGTCGACACGGTTGTTCCCACACAGCGGGAGGAGCATGGTGAATGTGGAGCCCATTATGCTGGTGGTCAGACCCCCCAGCCACGAGGCCGCAGCCAGCCTGAAGCAGAGCTGCGGATGCATCAGGACCGTGTAGTGGAGTGGCCTGCAGATGGCAGCGTAGTGGTCATAAGACATGACAGCCAGCAGGACACACTCAGTGGCCCCCAGCCAGTGGGAGACGTAGAACTGGACCACACACCCACCATAACTTATGGTTTTCTGTGGTCCCTGGAGGTTGACCAGGAGTTGTGGGACGATGCTCGTGGTGAAGCTGATGTCCAAAAAGGAGAGGTTGGCAAGAAAGAAGTACATGGTGTGTGGAGGTGCACATCCACACAGGAGACCAAGATGATGATGCTGTTGCCCAGGACAGACACCACATAAAAGGCCAAGACAACCATGAAGAGGACAGGCTCCAGCGAGGGCTGTGCAGAGAAGCCCAGGAGCACAAAGACTTCTGGAGAACTGACATTGACTGTTCCCACCACTTATGCAATTGGGGGTGTGGCAAGAAGGCCACCTATGGGGGTCACAGGGAATGAGACAGAAAGCGACACTATCAGCTAGCAAATTAAAAATAATTGTATCTTGATCTTATTTTATTTATTTTAGAGACAGGGTCTTACTCACTATGTTGCCCAGGCTGCCCTTAACCTCTTGAGCTTAGATGATCCTTCTGCCTCAGCCTACCTAGTAGGTGAGACTATAGGCATGTGCCACCACACCTGGCTAAAAATACATTTTATACCCATTGTCCTCAAAGGCATTCACACAACTGCTCTGTGGATGGCATTGCAATTTGAAATGTATGATAAAAGATTGCATCATAATTTGAAATGTATGATAAAAAACGGACATTCATGAAAAGTTCTTAACACTGTTTCCTTTTCTTTCTTTCTTTTTTTTTTTTTTTTTGAGTCAGAGTCTCACTCTGTCACCCAGGCTGGAGTGCAGTGGCTGGCTCATGGCCACTGCAGCCTCGACCTACTGGGCTCAGGCAATCCTTCAACCTCAGCCTTCCAAGTAGCTGGAATTACAGGCACTCGCCACCACCTTGGGCTAATTTTTTGATTTACTGTAGAGACAAGGTCTCGTCATGCTGCCCAGGCTGCTCTTGAATCCTTGAGCTCAGGCAATCCTCTAGACTCTTCCTCCCAATGTGCTGGGATTATAGGCATGAGCCACTGTGCCCAACCCTTGTTTTCTTTTTAATGGAAATGTTACCTATAGTTGCAGCATCTCCATTCAACCTGAATGTTTAACGATGGTGGTCTGCTGGTCAGGTGGAGGGTGGTGGTTCCTGTAATGAACCACTGTGCTGATGTTAGAATTGTACCTTCTGAAATCCCATGGTCATTGTCATCTGTGCTTTGACATTAAGTACATGCAGATGCTCTTCACTTCTCATCACCTCTGCCACTACCACTCTAGACCATGTAGCTACAATCTGTCACCGAACTTTGAGCAAATATCCTGACTGTCTCCATGCTTCTCGCTTCTCCCTTTCCGAGTGTTTCCCACAAAGTGTTGAGGCACAGATGATGACAAAAGGAAGGCTTCAGAAGCAAAATGTTCTCTTTGACTTTCTCCTGCCTTCCTGTCTCTGACCCCTCAGTCTCCCCTAGGCCAATCATAGAAACTAGAATTCCTCTTCCCCAAGGAGGGTCACAGAAATCAGAATTCCTACTTCCAAAGCCTACCATAAAGCCTAAAAAATCACTCTAACTTTCTCCTGCTTTTCTGTGTAAAAATGGCTGTAAAGAAATGCTCTGATATAACTCGTCTGACTGTTGGTCATAAGGCTTCATTCCAGAAAGGGAATGCCCCACACCCAAAAGGAAGGAATTCTGCTCAGAGACGAAGAGGAATCTAGAGACAGGCCTTGCCGGGTTTCCCCATCTACGTGTGCTAGATCACATCCTTCTTGTCCAGTCACATTTTGGCATGGCTGTCCATACTTTGTTGAACCTAAGCATAAAAACAGTTTCCCTGTATCTTTGGGTCTTCACTCTGGGACTCTTGTATCACATAACACTGTGACATAATAAATTTGTGTTCCTTTTCTCCTACAAATCTGCCTTTTGTCAAGTTTACTTTCCACAAACCTTCACAGGGTGAAGGGGATTTTCCCTTGACCCTACAAAAGCAGGCGGAGGGTAACATCAAGATGTAATATGATCATCTGCTCTGCTGCCCAGCACCCCTGTTGTCTTGGCACAGGGATGACACTTGCTGCTTCCCATCCCTGCGGTGCCTTCCCCAAGACATCACACGCCCACTTTCTCAGCTCCTTTGGGTTATTTTTCAAAGTCACTTTCCAGCAGAGTTCCTCTCTTGCTGTGTTATATAATATTAGAAACACTGGCAGCTCCCTCCTCTCTTTCCTGAATTATGTTTATACACAATACTTATAATAAATACACAACTCCTATTTATTATGTTTGCTATGTATTCCCTACTACTAGATTATAAATTCCATGACACCGCAGTTTTATGCTTTGTTTACTTCCAGGTTGCCAGTGTCTAACCCAGTGTCTGACATACGTAAGTCCCTTAATCACTGTTCACGGATGTGTCATAATGATCTCACTGTGAAACAGGCTGTCTGAAGGGCACGTGTGTAGGGTGACGCACATTTAGAGACAACACAAGCATGTCCCGGACATGGACCCCAAGCAGGGGTGTCCTCTGCCTGCTGACCACTCTTTGCAGCCCTGCATAGTGAATGTTGTTGTGACCTTCCTTGAAGCAGTCGCCTCCTGGCTGGTTCAGACCAGATCAGGCCTCTTGGACCAATATCTATAACCTGGTTATGTTTGGTTCACCTGCAGTTTGTTACAATACTAAAATTCCACCCTAGAGAGAAATCATAGCCATTCTGTGTATACATCATGCACATATAAGCATGTTCTCACACTGCATCTGCACACTAGCCACCCCCACTTTGCACCTAACCCCACTCTGCCTTGTGGAAGAAGTGTAACTTGTGCACTTTTCACACTTAGGGGTGGTGTTTCCTGTCTAGCCAGCAACCCCTGGGCCCTCTTCCTTAGGCCTAAGTTCTTGAATAAAGTTCGTGTCTTGACAGTAGTTTCTGGGTCATTTCGGCCTGTGTCCGTCTCTTGGACACAGTGCCTTTCCTTTTGGGGGTCCTTGGGAGTCCGGCACAACACATGGTCATGATAGAGGGAGGACTGGGGTAAGAGAAAGGCTTAGTTGGAGGATGCTCACCATACCCTCTCAATAGTGTTGTTGGGAAAGAACTATTGGAACTGCCAGAGATATGTGAAGGGGACCAGAATACCTCTGCTCATATGCAGAGGGAATAAATAAGCTATGACTTAGTGGGGACAGTGGGTAGAATGTACCAGAAGTCCATGTAGGGGGATCCAGGGGACGCTGGACTACCTTGGTGTGCTTCAGATGCCCTGAAAATCTCTGGGGCCCTTCTATGCAAAAACATTAATTTATTCTAGCTTGTATTTTTATAAAGAAGAACTAGTTTATTATCATCATAGTTCATTCATCAAGTTTGGGGAACAGAACAACTATAAACTCGACTGTTAGACCTCTTAATATCCCAGACTGTGCAGCTTCTCTATCCCTATCGCTGGAAGTTGATTGAACAAACTAAACATGTATGTCCACAATATTTTAAAATGCATGTAGTGGCTAAAGGGCAGAAAAACATGTTAGGATTCTCATGTTCTACTGCTAACTGACACTGACAACATAGGAATCAGATTCCTGGCTATTTTAAAATGAACACACATGGGTGACAGAGTAAGACCCTATCTCAAAAACAAACAAATAAATAAAAATTTTAGAATTAACATTTTTCACCTTGCAAAGTGACAAAACAGTACCAGTTTAATAATATTTATCATGTCAAGGATATAGGGAAATGGGTATATGCATTCTGCTAGTAAAAAGCAAATTTGTATGGGCATTTTGAATGTCAGCCTGGAATATTATTAATGTTTAAAATGCCTATATTTAAGCTTGGAATTCCACTTCTAGGTATATTCTATAGAAAAAATTGAAATATTTATATAAAGAAGTTGCACCAATATGACTTAGAATCTTTCGCAAAAATGTATGTAGCTTGTGTGTGTGTGTGTGTGTGTGTGTGTGTTTGTGTGTTTTCTGAGTGAAATAGAAGTAGAAAGACAAAAGCACAAGCCACAAAAGGAAAAAAATTGATAACTGGATTTCACTGTAATTAAAAACTCTAACTGCTGCAAACAATATTCTCAAGAGTGGGATGTGATTGACACATTGTTTTGGGGTGATGAGAATGGTGATGGCTGCAGAAACTGTGAATATACTAAAAACCATTTTTCAAATTGCACATTTGAAATGGGCGAATTGTATGGTATGTGAATTGTACCTTAATAAAGCTGTTTTTAAAAAAGCAAAAAAGGAAAATGCATGTGGTCTTCCATTACACGTATATGGAAATGGGGCTCAGAGAACTTCAGGTACTTGCTAGAATTCATACATGGTGTGAACTTCACTGAGACCTTGGTCTGAACTACAGTTTGATTCACAGTTGATATTATTCAGAAAATGTATAAATGGTGCCAAGAGATGAGGGCCACAAGACCACTCATGAGGTAATAGTTTAGTAGAATTTTTGAGGAAAAAGAGATCTTTTTGATAATCTGATCTATTTCTAGACACATTCAGAGGCTTACCCAATATCCCAGAGCTGCTTAATAGTGCTGCAACTGCACCCAAGATACCCGGATTCTCAGCACTAAAAGAGTATTTCCATAAAGGGAGAGAGGTTTGCTCACCCACAGAGATTTACCAAAACTGTCAAAATAAAAACTCACTTTTCTAGGGAGGAAGGCAAAGGTTCAGAAGCTCCCTCCTGGGCACAATGTTCACTCTTTGGGGGATGGGGATGCCTGAAGCCCAATTTCACCAGTACATAATGTGCCATGTAATAGACACGCACTTGTATCCCTGAATCTAAAAAGTTTTAAAAACTTCCCTCTTCAAAATGTGACCCCCGTCTTAAATACTGAGCCATTAAAACAAAGAATAATAATATAGTTAAAGTTATGGAAATGTCTTGAGTTCAAATTTTGCCTGAATTAACTATGCAGTCATAAATGTACACCAGAGTGTAGGCAATCTGATAAAACACCAAAGACCACAGGGAGAGAAAATCAGGTCATTTAAATGGTCAGTACTCATCGACCTTAATTGGAATTATCAAGAAGTCTGAGGTCCCAGTTTTCTTAAATACCATGAAAAACAAACAAACAAATCAACAGTCCCAAGAATGTCACTTACTAAAGGTGAGCTAGCTGCATCTTCTCCCTTTATGTAGGATGGAAATGTAAAATGGGCAACAGCTTATCTCCAGGATTGATAACTTTCATGCTTTTAGTGCACATGGCATTAAAAAACAGGAGATCAGCCAAGAGTTTAAAGCCTTCGCATAGTGGAAATCTCCAAGTCAGTGGCCACAGATATGCTAGATTCTGCTCAAAAACATTCTAAAGGACACATTCTTAAGTCTTTAAAGTAGAATAAGTTGGACTAGGAAAAAACATTTCATGTCTCCTAAGAAAATCATAGTCAAAAGATTAAAGGTTGATTCATGGTGTTTCCAGAATGAGAAATATGACCTGCAAAGGACAAAGTGTTACATAAGTCCTTATAATAATAATACATTTATTGTATCCCCTGGAGCATTCAGGACTAGAGAGAGTGATGGTGTATATCTGGGGACTAAAAT